CAAAGTGTCACGTATCCATAGATGCGGTTTGGGAGAAAGATGCAGTCCTGTATTCAGCAACCAGATATAAAAATATTTGTTATTCTTTTTTAACACATTTGAACTTTTCGAGTTGTTACTTTATTTTCTTTTACATATACTTGTGCGGTATTGCCCTTGTTCGGACCTGACTTGCATTGCGGCCCGGCGACTGATTGAGTTCGTCTACCTAAGATCAAATCACAACGTGGGTTGGTTAGACTAGAAATCAAAGCAGTTACTTCGGTAACCAGACGTTGGAGGCGAGCTGGGAACGACAAAGCTGATACCGAATCTAACCAGATTCCCATCCGAATCGGCCAAGGGTTAGAACGTCACATTTGGTGCCGTGACCAATACCAAGTCACATTGGTCGTCTAAGGATAGCACTGGGGCAGAGAGAGATGATTTAGGAAGAGTGAATGGGGAGCAAAGACTGGTGGTTGTCGAAATGTTAAGATTGATTCGTTTTCTACGGCTTACCAACCCATTGCAAGAGTTTTTTTAGAGTGTAAGAATTTTTTTTTTGTAAATAATACTGGTTTAGTGATACAAGTCTTACTAATTAAACCATAGTTGATGGAGAAGAGGTAGATTTCTAATTAATCAGAATTTATCTGTCTATAATTCTGAGATGAGGTATTATGTACATTATTTACATTATTCAGACTATTGTCCTCATCTTTGTCGCCATATTTATTACAACGTTTTGGCCGTTGCAAGCTCCGGCCTTCTTCAGGTGGTTGGAATGTCAAACTGAACCCTTTATTTCGCTCACTGCGGTAGAATGTTCTCGTTTCACGTGCCATGTTTTAATGGATGTCAGTTATCAGTTATCGCCTGTTAATTTCCCTCTGAAAGTTCTCCACTGCCTTAACCGGGTATTGAACTGACACTCTTTGGTCCTGTCACTGGATCTAACCACCGCCTTTATCCACTGTGCCATGCGTCTTCGAGTATGCTTTTTTGAATCTAGTGGAATCAGCTGTGTTATGGTTTCAAATATCAATCCACATTCAAATATCCAATGTAAGAACTTTCAAATTTATGACTAGAAGATTTGCCACTTTTTAAAATTCAAGAATGATTTCTTTTGTCATCACAGAAAACCTTCTTTCAGCTTCCACAGAGCAAAACATCAATAGTAATAATTATATTTTTAGCTATTATCTATCGGCTATTAATATACAAGATTATTTTCGGATAATCTAACAACCAGTTCGCTAAGTTTTTGTTTAATTTTAAGAATCGATAAAGTTAACTAAAAAACAACAAATATATCAGAATATATATATATAAAAAGAAATAAGTATTAAAAAGATGAAGAATCCATTGTCAATTCAAGAAAGAGTCAGAATAGACATGCAGATGAACGTACTTTATAAACATTCACCTAATAAAATTTTTGAGAGCCACTCAAGTTAGTGAGTTACTATTAAAACGGTGATGAGGAATGACGTCTGGGACATAAATGAAGGTAATGGCGTTAGGATGAGCGGTTGAGTAATGGATAGCTGCTTGGATTGAGTCAAATCCATTATATCGACTTACGTGCCAATATCCTTGGGAAAGCTATGAATCCTCTTCTATCTCCAGATATGGGTAAATAGCAGGACAGACTGGGTTCTATAGCCTTAGGTGGCAACTGGTCTAGAAGAACAACTTTGAATGCAAAACCTGTGGAGGGTCGTTTGGGGACCTTGTGGCACTTATCACCAGATCTCTGTATCCGGCCCTTCAAAAGTGTGGTTGGTTCTGCACAAAACCTTCACCACTATAATCAAATCTCATGTACTGGTGTCGAGCTATCTATTCCTAGGAACTGATCTGCTTGACCCTCATACGTCGAAGTCGACGAGAGAACCGAATATATATATATATATATATATATATATATATATATATATATAAAAGTGAACATTGAAGTCAGCACTCAGAATTTTGGCATTCACTTACGTGCTAATATCCTTAGGAAAGTTATGAATTTTCTTCTTCTCTTCACTTATCGGTAAATATCAGGACAGATCTGCTTCTATAGCCTTGGACGTCAACTGGTCTACAGCAGAAAGAAATGGCAACCTACTGCAAGAAAAATCTGCCTCGTCAGTCATGTATCGAATGATAGATGATCGCCTAAGCGTGATGGAACTGACTGGCATTAGGAAGTAAAATATTATGAGGATAAAGAGTAAAGATAACGATTGATCTTTGGTGTGAAAGGGTTAAGATTTTATGGTACGAGTAAGCACCCACGTGGGGTCTGTTCGACAAAGTTGCATTTTTGGGGGGAGAAAAGCTTTTTGAGAAGAACATTCCTCTTTATTTGGTACATCGAGGCTTTCGACCAAATCAAGTTTAAACACCGGTTCGCGTAAAATCACCGAAGTTAAGCAATGTCGAGCTTAGTCAGTACCTAGATGGGTGACCACTTGGGAAGCCAGGTGCTGTAAGCTTAGATGTACGAGTGGTGTAATGGATAATGGCTTCAGCATTGCTAATCGGAAAGCCGAGTTCTAATTCCCGTTGGGTTCGTTACGCGCAAATACCTTTGAGAAAGGTATGAATCCACCTCACCACTCCCTAGATATGGGTCATTTAATAAGGCTTGTATCACTAAAACCATTATCTCCAAGAATAAATATTCTTACAACCTGAAAAAAGATTCTGGCTTTAAATAACCTGCAAAAGGGTTGATAATACGTAAAAAAAGGAATAGATAAATTTGATTATAAAGGAAATGAGGCTGATTCGATTCCGTGGAAATTGCATGGCGTGTTCTTGCTGGGGAGCACGGCACTGGTCATATTGTAGAATGTATCACATCTGATTATTTGACATGGGAATATCAATAAGAAAAAAAACAGGCTTCATAAAGGAGAATAAATCTCTCCGTTCTCAGCACCACCAACATCGCGTTAACAATTTTGAACTCTGCAAAATTAGGATTGAGCAGACTTATAGGTATGCCCACCTTTTTCTTAATCTGACTAGTGAAGATGGGGCATAGAAAGGTAAAGACATTTCCTTGGGGTGGTTATGTTTCCAGCATTTTAATCAGTGGTTTTGTATATGGGGAGTTCCATCTGAGATCTGGAGGAAACTGAGGCTCAACAGATTTATGGAACCTCATTGGGATTACGAACATTTAGCACAACTGGAGAAAAACTCAGGTTACGATCGGTGATGTGAAACGATACAAGCTTGCATTTTGTTCTATTGAAAGTTGCAAACCATTTTAAAACCTCTGTGATACGAGAACTAGATCAGAGAAGAGATGTGCTGCACGGGTCCGATCATCTTAAGAAAAAAAAACATTTGAAAGGAGCCAAAACATTCTTCAGTTCTTTTATTAGTGAACAGAACGATCACGTGGTACTGAAGTGATAGAGGAATCTCCATTTTAGTCTTACGCTGAACTGGCGGACAATATATTTTCTTTCGAAATTCTCTATAACAGAAGAGTATCCGACAGTTTATTAAGCTACGTTCGATATAGGTTAATCTAGCTGTGGCGACATTAATAGCTAATGGAACGTGAACAAAGACACAATCTTATTTGTTCTAGCGATACGCAAAGTGAATTTATTTGGTGCTGTAACGGAGTATGTCGTTAAATGTGCTACAACAAAAATATATTTGGTTTGAGGCTATGAGTAAAGATGACGTCTTATATTTGATGCACACGAATTATATTAGAAGCCTTTTTCCCCACTGGCCATGCAAACTGAGCTTTTTGCTAATTACAAATATACAAAGTTCGGCAAACATGAATATTTGTTCCCGTAAAAAAAAAAAAAAAATAAAATAAATGTCAAAAGAACAGTTTTTCCCATTTCAAAGGTAAATGTTGCTAGTTCAAACCTCTTTTGTTAGCTTATACGTAATAAAAACTGATACAGTTAAAACTAATGCAATGCAATATTTTTTATTCATTAATTTATCAACATTTACTAAATTACACTATTTACATTATTCGGATAATTGTCCTCATCTTTGTCGCCATATTTATTACAACGTTTCGGCCGTTGTACGCTCCGGCTTTCTTCAGGTGGTTGGAATGTCGAACTGAACCCTTTATTTCGCTCACTAGGGTAGACTTTTCTAGTTCCATGTGCCATGTTTAATAGATGTCAGTTATCAGTTATCTCCTGTTAATACCCCTCTCCAAGTTCTTCACTGACTTAACCGGGTATTCAACTCACACTTCTTGGGTCCTGTCATTGGATCTAACCAACGCCTTGGCACGGTGGATAAAGGCGTTGGTTAAACCAGAACCTAATTTTATACTTTCATAGTGTTTTGACCCCTTTTGGGGAGTCAACTATTTGCCCATAGCTGGGACCCTAACTGGTACTACTACCCAAGCTCAGTGTAGACCTGTGAACACCAGCAATTAAGAGGTGCTTCCACGCTTCTCAAAAACTCCTGAACAGAGACTTTGCTGTCGGATGTAGTTTATCGTCTTACCCAGGACACTAAAGAGTTTTCCAATTGTTTATATTTGCTATATAGGGACTATTATTTTTTCTTTTGAATCTTTTAAAACAATATGAGTAATTAAGCAATATGATTAATGATATCCCGTGATCCTATAACTTTTGATTTCATTCTAATTTTCCCATATCACATAGATTGGTTATTTTAGTTCACATTTTCTTTCAAAGAGCGATCTGTTTTTATATTCTACTCAAAATAGCACGTAGAAGATCATGACTCTCCACAAAAAGAGATTAATTTCTTTTATATTTGTGAATTACCATGGTTACCAGAGAAGGATAGTGGTTTTACCGTTGCCGACTTCTCGGTTTTGAATTCTGAATTTTCATTCACTTAGCCTGGTTGCTAACCCCTGTGATCGATGCCAGCGTGACAATGATCGCAGGGACTGAGCAAAATTAGCGTCCATTCTTCAAGCAAGGCAATAATACCACTAAGACGCTAGGTATTCTCAAGAGTACAAGACAATTACAAGACTTTGGAAGGAATCAGCAAGTCAATACAAAGAGGAAACAACTGATATCTATCTATCTATCTATCTATCTATCTATCTATCTATCTCGAAGTCTTTTGACTTTTAAGTCATTTTAAGATTTTTAACCAATTCGTCCCCAGTGATATCAGTGGTAATACCACTAAGACCCAACTTACTACTATTAGTAAATGTACAAAATGGTTTTAGAAGGAACCAGGAACCCAATCTAGGAAACACAGGATATCTATCTATCTATCTATCTATCTATATCATCTGTTCTTATCTATCTATCTATCTATCTATCTATCTATCTCAGTCTGTTCTTATCTATTATCTATCTATCTATCTAAGTCAATCTTTATCTATTTATCTATCTAAATCTCATCACCCCATTCTTTCTTTCTGTATCTATCTATCTATCTATCTATCTATCTATCTATCTATCTAAATCTCATCACCCCATTTTTTATCTATCTATCTATCTATCTATCTATCTATCTATCTATCTATCTCAGTCTGTTCTTACTATTATCTATCTATCTATCTATCTATCTATCTATACACCCAATCTTTATCTATTTATCTATCTAAATCGCATCACCCCATTCTTTCTTTCTGTAATCTATCTATCTATCTATCTATCTATCTAATCTATCTAAACCCCATTTTCTCTCTATCTATCTATCTATCTATCTATCTATCTATCTATCTATCTATCTATCTATCTATCTCAGTCTGTTCTTATCTATCTATCTATCTATCTATCTATCTATCTATCTCATCTATACACCCAATCTTTATCTATTTATCTATCAAATCTCATCACCCCATTCTTTCTTTCTGTATCTATCTATCTATCTATCTATCTATCTATCTATCTATCTATCTATCTAAATCTCATCACCCCATTTTTTCTCTATCTATCTATCTATCTATCTATCTATCTATCTATCTCAGTCTGTTCTTATCTATCTATCTATCTATCTATCTATCTATCTATCTATCTATCTATCTATCTATACACCCAATCTTTATCTATTTATCTATCTAAATCTCATCATTGTATTCTTTCTTTCTATCTATCTATCTATCTATCTATCTATCTATCTATCTATCTATCTATCTAAATCTCATCACCCCATTTTATCTATCTATCTATCTATCTATCTATCTATCTATCTATCTAAATCTCATCACCCCATTTTCTCTATCTATCTATCTATCTATCTATCATATCTATCCATCTATCTATCTATCTATCTATCTATCTCAGTCTGTTCTTATCTATCTATCTATCTATCTATCTATCTATCTATCTATCTATCTATCTACACCCAATCTAAATTTATCTATCTAAATCTCATCATTCATTCTTTCTTTCTGTATCTATCTATCTATATATCTATCTATCTATCTATCTAAATCTCATCACCCCATTTTTTATCTATCTATCTATCTATCTATCTATCTATCTATCTATCTATCTATCTATCTCAGTCTGTTCTTATCTATCTATCTATCTATCTATCTATCTATCTATCTATCTATCTATCTATACACCCAATCTTTATCTATTTATCTATCTAAATCTCATCACCCCATTCTTTCTTTCTGTATCTATCTATCTATCTATCTATCTATCTATCTATCTATCTATCTATCTATCTATCTAAATCATCACCCATTTTTTCTATCTACCTATCTATTATATCTATCTATTATCTATCTATCTATCTATCTCATCTATCTCAGTCTGTTCTTATCTATCTATCTATCTATCTATCTATCTATCTATCTATACACCCAATCTTTATCTATTTATCTATCTAAATCTCATCACCCCATTCTTTCTTTCTGTATCTATCTATCTATCTAAATCTCATCACCCCATTTTTTCTCTATCTATCTATCTATCTATCTATCTATCTATCTATCTATCTATCTATCTAATTGTTTTATAGAACACAATTTTAATTTAAAAAAAAAAGCAAGTGATTATATTAAGGTGAAATGTGTAGAAAGTGTACTAATTTCTCTGTTAACTTTTCCCGTTAACTTTACGCCTAGGTTTGTAAAGAATATCACCCTTAAGAAAATTATTGGTATTACAACCTATAATTATTATATAATTAAAACAACGGCAATGAAAACAAAAACAATAACGGTAGAATATCGAAGGAGTTCGGTTAGCCTCCAGACACATCGGATGCCAGAAATTTCAAATGTAACTTTAAAATTAGATTCCTGTATTTTTAGCGTTTCTCTCGATATGTACTTATGATCGACGGTGTTTTGTATTTGGCTACCTACATGACATACATATGATTTTATGAATAAAATCAGTATTTAGTCTAAAGGAGTCAATTCGAAAGACGAAACGCGTCACATAAGATTTTTTTTTATATCTTATCCTTCAGCTTGTCCATCATTTGTCTTATATATATAGTATTTATATATCACATTCTATCGTATTTATCTATCTGACTAGATAACTTTTCATTAATGTCTATCACAACCTATTCATGGTTTCGAGTGAATGGAGCCTGTAAGGCAGTGGCTCCAATTTTTTTCATTGCTGGGCCGGATATTTGGAATTAAAATTTGTTCGCGCCTCATCAAATTTTATGCGATAAAAAATTACATTTAAAAATTAAAAAAAAAAAAAAAAAAAAAACATGGAGATAGTTAAAGCGAGATAATCGAAGATTCGAAGTCAGAACATTATCATTGATAACTCTCTCTTCCAATTTGCGGACCCAATTTACTATATTCTTAATACTTGATATAGCGCAAAAATATCCCAATGATAAAATCTGTCAATAATGATTTATACTGGGACTCATGCATGCAATTACAAGTAATCCATAATAATATTTTAAATTTTGAAATCATTTTTTTTTTGGCATATGAATTTTTTGAAAATGTTTCTAAATCTTTGATTGTCTTTCAATCAATCCGCCTCATCTGCTATCCTCTTCCGTCTCACCATTGAGATGTGCCGCATCAACGTTTGGGAAACACTACTGTAAGGTCTTGGCATTGAATATCCGTCTTTGGACTAGAGCTGCACAATCGCAAAAAAAAAAAAACCCTGTACCAATTAGAAGAAACCACATCACTTGAGGACTTTCAACAGCAGCAACACCTAAAATGGATATCACATGTAAATCATATAGAAAATGATGACATGATCAAGGTTTTGATGTTCTACCATATATCAAACAGAAGGTTAGGAAGGAAACCCCATCACTCCTGGAACAGTTATGATTATTAACATTATTCGAACGCTTGTCCTCATCTTTATAGTCGTATTTATGATGTTTCGGCCGTTGTACGCAAAGGCATTCTTCAGGCGATATACGTTGAAATTTCAAACTAAACCCGTTAATTAGCCCACGGGGCTAGATTGTTCTAGTTCCACATGCCATGCCTTTTCTGGATATCTCAGTTTTAGTTATTTCCCTTTAGTAACTCCACTGTCCAATTTTTTTCACCTCAGTTGTAGACAAGAATTTAAATCATAACTCTTTGGGTCGTGTTACTTTTAGGATTACTTCAAACAACGCTTTTATCCACAGGGTCATGTATATAACTTGATGAAGGCCGGAGCATACAACGACCGAAACGTCGTAAAGATGAGTACAGCAGTCTGATTAATGTAAATAGAATGCTATTGTTTCAATTTTTATGCATTTCATACAATAACATTGGCAGTTCGGCTGATGATTGATGAATATTTCTTTATACATAAACAGCAAAATATAACCAGTGTCATTACGATTTATATTAGGATGTATATCTAGTGGTTGTAACAGTAATACTGTCCAAATCGTGTAACATCAAAATTGTCCAAATAGTGTAACAGTGAAATTGTCCATCTCACAAAATTGTCACATCTCACAAAAATATCTACGATAAAAAAAACACTTAACTAATTGAGTTTCTTTTTTTTTCCAGGATTTCAGATAAAAAGTTTAGCCATCTGGACACCATTTGTCGTAAAAATCACTGAAAAAAAAACCCTTTAAGTCATTCAGGTAGCAAGAGAACAGGTTAAAATCGTTTTGTGTCAGACCCACTGTCTTCCCAAGTGAGCAATAGCGGGAGGAAAAATATCATTCAGGCTTTCAATAACATTGGTACTCTGGCTATCATCTTCAAAGTACATTTAAAAACCATCAAGAGAACGGTGAATAAGGGTTATAATCTTGAAAAGGTTATTGAATGAAGAATAACCAAAACGGAGGTTGGAAATGAAATGGTAATCTTTATAATATCAAAAAAATATAATACTCGCCAGCGTTGTGAAGTAGGTAAACCACTGCTAGTGGTACACTACTTAGACGGCATATTAGCCCCATTTACATTAGTGTCCAACGTATTTATGAGGATTGGGACATAGTGTTCATACGTACGTTATATAACAAGTTTTTAAAAAAAGCAAGAACGGTAGCGAGAAAAACTGGATCAGGAGGTCACAACAGGAAGAGGGATCATCATTTCAACTTAAGGAAATCAATTAGAAAAGATCCAACTCAATCTATAAAGCGTTTGGATCGTGAGAGAGGAGTTTCAGCTACGACAGTTCAAAAAGCAAGGGAAAAGACTTGAAAATGAAATCGTATGTGAAAAGTGTGAGGCGACTTGTTACAGCAGGACAGAAAGTTGGAAGGTTAGAGAGGGCGGGAATCATCTTGAATAAGTTGGAAAATGACCCTGGAATATATATATATATATATATATATATATGAACTTTATTTCAATCCTTCATGAGTTTCGGATCTTTAGCTATGATTAAATAATGATGAACATGTAATTTTCGTTTATGAGAGAGTGAAGATTATCTTGAAGAAATTGCAAAAATGATCCCGGCATATATATATATATATATATATATATATATATATATATATATATATATATATATATATAGTTGATGCGCACTGCTGATGAGTCCCAAATATAGGACGAAACAGCCGTCTAGTGCTTTCTGCATTCTGTTGGTTTCTTTCACACTCGATGAATTAATCAAATATAATTATCAAATCCTCCTAATAATTTCTATCTTTGTATACCATTGCTTAAACCGGCTTCTAATGCTCAAGTCTGAGCGGCTTGGTGATAGTAGTCGTGTCTCCAGGGGGCACAGTTCTATGGTTAGAGAGAAACACAGTGGAGTTCCACCACGGAATATGTGAGTGAACGGCGCTATATTGAGTCTGATTTGCTACCTGTTCGTCACTGAGACCCGTTGGAACAGTTGGTATGACGTTTGCTTGGTAACCTAACTGTCCGGTTTTCCATTCACGGTAGTGGATGCGCACTGCTGATGAGTCCCAAATATAGAACGAAACGCCGTCCAATGCTTTCTGTATTCTGTTGAGGTTTCTTTCACACTCGATGAATTACTTAATATATATGGAACTTAATTTCAATCATTTATTAGCTTCCGATCCTTAGCTATGATTAATTAATGATGAACATGTCATTTTCGTTTATAATCGATTTCATCACGAGTCTTAAGTTTGGAGAGTAATTATACATTCTTATTGCTCAAAGTAGAGTCCAGTAGTGTTATTAAACGTCGGATAATTCCAGTAAGATATCTTTAATCATTTCTAAGAGCCAACGGTTCGAAGCTTAAACTAACAAATAGACAATTTTGCTTTTACACGACTTGGACAGTTTTGCTGTTACACGCGGTATGAATGTCTGTCCGCACGTCTTCTGCCTGAATCGCAATGTCGGGGTTGGCTTAGCGGCGTAGCCTGTTGTGAATTGCCCGTTGGCACTTGTAATTAGCTTACAAGTACAAGATCATGCCTGAGTTACAAATATCAATTCCAAGACAGTCACGTACACTTTCACGAAAGGTAAATAATAAAATTTTCTCAGACTACTTGGTAGTCAGTACATTAATGTACTTGTAAAATAAACAAACACATTATACTACCTATCAACTCAATAGCATAGACAATTTAAAAAAAATAGTTATCTTAATTTAGTATAACATTGGTAACACCTCCAAAAACGAGAAGACACTTAATTAAAATAACCCAAATAATAATATTTAAACTTTAGTAGTAATATGCAAAACAGACGGCCAAAATATTCCCACAAATTAATAGGTACTTAATTATCTATGTGCGTTTGCGATAAGTATAATATTTGAATTTTATGTCACATTATACGGAATAGATTTCATATATACTTTGACGTGCCAAAAGACAAGGTACCTGGTATCGTTTTTTTCTTTTTTTTTATTTCACTTTCTTTTGTTTGTTTCTTCTTTATTTCATCTTTCTTCAGCATTTCTCTTTCATTAAAAGTTTCTTTTCTTTTTTCATTCATTTTCTTCTCTTTCTTTTCTTTCTTTCTTTTATCTTTCTTTAACGTTTCTTCTTGTATTTCTTTGATATCTCACTTTCTTTTTCTTTCTTTTGCGTTTCCATTTCATTCATTTTTTATTTCCTATTTTTCTTTCTTATATTCATTTTTCTTCTTTATTTTCTTTTTCTTTCTTTCCTCTTCTTTCTTTTCTATTTCTTTCTTCCTTATCGATTTTCTTTTCATTAATTCATTCGTTTCGATTTCTTTCTCTCATTCATGTTTATTCTCTGTTTCTCTTTCTGTCTTCTCTATTCTTTCTTTCTTTCTTTCTTCTCTATTTCCTTTTCATTCATTCTTTCTTTACGATTTCTTTCTTTCATTCATTTTTCTTTTCTATTCCCTTTTCTTTCTTCTCTATTTCTATTTCTTTCTTTGTGCTTTCTTTAATAATTTCTTTCTTTTCTATTTCCCTTTCATTCATTCTTTCTTTATGATTTCTTTGTTTCTTTCATTCATTCGCCCTGTTTTCCTTTCTTTCTTTCTTTCTTTCCGATTTCCGATTTATTTCTTTCTTTCATTTTCCTCTCTTTTTCCGTTTCATTCTTTTTTCTGTATTTCGATTTCTTTTTCTTTCTTTCTTTCTTTCTTTCTTTTCTTCTCTATTTCTATTTCTTTCTTTCTTCTCTGTTTGTTTTTCATTAATACATTCTTTTCAATTTCTGTCTTTCTTTCTTTTTCTTCTCTCTTTCTATCTTTCTTCTTTATTTCTTTTTCATTCATTCATTCTTTTAGATTTCTTTCTTTCTTTTATTCATTTTCCTCTCTGTTTCCTTTTCTTTCTTTCTTCTCTATTTCTATTTCTTTCTTTCTTTCTTTCTCTCTTTCTTTCTTTCTTTCCTATTGCTTTTTCATTCATTCTTTTTTCGATTTCTTTCATTCATTCATTCTTTCGTCTTCTCTATTCCCCCCTTCTTTTTTTCTTTCTTTTTTTATATTTTCTATATCTGCGTAAGATAAACGGAACTCTATGTTTCCAGCCTTGATGAAAAAGAGAAAAAATGAAAGTGAAAGTGAAAGGAATCCATATCGATTAGGCAGTCGATCAATGACTTTCCCTACCCAGTCAACTATCCACGGGCTTTTCAGCCTACTCCTTCATTCTCCTCCTCAGCCCGGACCCTTGGAATCGAATTGATAACGCCATTCAGTGCTTTTCAGACCAAGTGAAGATAGTCAGCCAATGAGGAGCCGACAGTACACCTTTGAGCAGCGACACCAGCGACCGGACGATGCCAGTGACGGACATCCTCACACTTGAGTAGAGGGTGGCCGATACATAACAACGATGCCGAAATCATCGATACGCTGGTCGATGGCACCAGAGGTTGTCTGATAGAATTTAAATACACACACACACACACACACACACACAACATATATATATATATATATATATATATATATATATATATATATATATATATATATATATAATGCATATTTCAGCAGCAACCTTTCAAACATTGTTTTGTTGAATATGACAGACAAGAAAAAATTCATGAATTTACTTTCTTTCAGTTTGGTAGTAAAAAGGATGGTAAAAATTGTCCGTATTGTCTGTTGTCCCAAGCGCTTTTGGCCATTTTATTGAGCCATTTTAAAGTGGGTCTCGTGTTGTTAACCTCTTTTCATGTTTGTCTCTTTAAGATGTAGTTTTGTGGTTTCTAAATAGTAGCAGCGTTTATTCCGAGCCTCGCAAATTCAGCGTAGTATGAATTAAAGAATATATTCATAGCACTTGTTCTCGCAAATAAATCTTATCAAAAAAGAAATCTTCGAAACTGTGGCTTTTGTAGTAGTAAAAAATACGTTAAGATTGAAATTCATGTGTTATATACCATACCTATAAACACTAATGGGTGTGTCCCGATCCTCATAAATAAGTTGAACACCATTTTAAGTGGGGTAATATGCTAAGTAGTCCACTAGCTGTATTGTATTTTGTTGATGTTAAAAAGATTACCATTTCATTTCCAACCTCCGTTTTGGGTATTCCTCATTCAGTAACCCTTTCTAGGTTACGATAGATAGATAGATAGATAGATAGATAGATAGATAGATAGATAGATATGAACAGAATAAAGCAGATATGAAACGAACAGAGATAGATTGATTGATAGATAGATAGATAGATATGAACAGACTCACGTATGTAAATAATTTAGTGTTATATTACATACCTATGAACACTAATAGGTATATCCTAATACTCATAAATACGTTGGACACTATTGTTCGGTGGGGGTAGTATACTGTCTAAGTAGTGCACCACTAGCAGTGGTTTACCTACGCCGTTGGTGTGTATTTTATTTTGTTGATGTTATCAAGATTACCTTTTCATTTCCAACCTCCGTTTTGGTTATTCCTTATTCAGTAATCCTTTCTAGATTACAACACCATGTGACCTATTTCTATAGTAATCAAATCACATATATAAAGCCATACTATATATCATTTTACATATAATTAATATTTTCCATACCGGATTATTCACATCTTATAGTTTATAATCTTGTAGCTGTAGCTTGTAGCTCAACGAAGTAACGAACTTAAAAGAACCTTTTCAAAATACTGATTCACTTTACATATTCCAGTTTCTAAGACACATTAAACTGATTTCAAAAATATAATTTAAATATATATATATATATATATGAACATAACAACCAGTAATCTTGCTATTTAAAATAAGTTTTTGATTGTTTAAATACATAATTTATTTAGCAAAAAAAAATTTCGGCATTGAATGACCCAGTGGGTTGACATGCCAAAAGACCTAAACAAATCGATTACGACTGAATAGTGAGTACCATCTTCACAGGGTACCCCATGTTTTCGACCTTGTGACCTATCTACGCTATGCTTAGAAAATTCCCATCAAAATATGTGTTGATTAATTGCCTCGACTTATACACGTTTTTTTAGCCATTTGTCAAATATAAAACGAAGGGATCGGCTTATATTTGGATCTGTTTAGACACGAGTATGCCCGGATGCTTTCAAGGCGTATTTATGCATCTATAAGAAACTTACATTACCTGCTGTCAATGTAACCTCTAGCTTTTCAAGACACAGTCACATGTTAGTCTCCAGTGTTGGTGTTAAAACTAACTCGCGCTCAATGCTATTTGAAAACATATATATATATATATATATATATATATATATATATATATATATATATTATAAATTAATTGATTTAAAATATGTTTTTTTGCTACGCAGTTCTAACCATGTTTCAAAATGGAAGCTGAAAGCTCTGAATTTAATTTTGTAATTAAATTAAAGACATTAGCGAATTTTGGAGTAACTTTTAAAATTACTGGGTTTTAAAGACACAGCAAAAATCATAATTCACGTTTCCAAGGATACAGATATATATATATATATATATATATATATATATATATAGCATTATACACTGCGACCGATTTTGTAATGACGTTTTTTTTAATTCTAGTGTGTGTTGGTGGAAGATCTTTTAGCTTAGTCTGTACTGCATAGTCACGGATCGAAACCAGAACGGCGACTCCCACGTAAAATCGCTCTCAGCAGATATATAGTCATTTATATCCCTTAAATAGATCTTTCTTATTCCTCCCCGCCTCACGAGACATGCCCAAACTGCCAGGGATAAGTATTGTAACAATGCAGTAGTGAAGCTGGTAAGGATTTTGTCTACACGCTGCAGTGTCTTTTAAGAAAACTAAAGAGTCCCAGTTTGTAATATTTTCCCTTCCACCACCTTTGACCCGTAATAATTGTCAGATTAAATACCTTCAAATAGAAAAACTGAGAGTTTTTTTTTGTCAAGCTCACCCAAAGCAAAGCAGTAAAGCTACAGAGATCAACACATATTGCACAATGTATCAGCATATATAAATAGTCGAGCAAAAACACAATACTCATGGCCTGAAGAGTGCATTTAAACATGAAATACATTAACCACTTTAACATTTATATGTAAACTTATCCCTTAAAACATAAATATAACATACCTTAACTTAAAATATATACTTATTACTTACACACACATATATATATATATATATATATATATATATATATATATCAAGTATATAATTGGTATATACGGAATGAATTCAATAACCAACAATTACTATTCTTAAAAGAGTGCTCAATACAAAGTAAGCAGATATAATTGTTATTTATATTTAAAAAATTATAACATAAGTATGTTATAAAATCACTACAAAAATGGCCATTTGTACACGCAACAAACCATTTGTTTTATTTTCAACATCATCACTTGATAAGAATACAGAAAATAAAACAAAATGGTTTATTTTGTAGTGATTATTTATACCATTTATGTTATATTTTTTTTTATAAATAATAATTATATATATATATATATATATATATGTGTGTGTGTGTGTGTATAATTATCATTATTATTATTTTATATGCGCAGTACTTATTGAAAAGTGCTCCATATCAGTGATAGAGCTAACCTATTCAGTTCTATGGATATGGTTTTGAGAGCCTGAGTTTCACGCTTATGAAATTATCAGACTGTCTGATGATCTTATAAGCGTGAAACGCAGGTTCACAAAGTCATAACCATACAACTGAATATATATATATATATTTATATATATATATATAGCTAGATCAATAACGATGCACAAACAATGAATTGTTCAAAATCAAACACGCTATAGGAGAATAGCATATGAAACGCCAAACTAGAAGAGAAGAAGTGCTTATGTCTAGGCCTATATTGAACCTACTACCATAACTCATTCGTATATTCTAAAAAAGGAAGATCGTCCGGTATGTGTGACATGTAAGAGTCATTCACCATAAAACACATGCTGAAAAACAGTAGCAATTTTAAAGGAATCTGCTTAAAATGCGACCTAGCAACAAACTATTATTAAATTATATGATAGAATTTGATATTAAAATTAAAAACTGCCAATTTTATAATCCAAATTTAATCACTATTAAATTTAAAATTATAAAATTACTGAGGAGAAAAGAGGAAATACATATGTTATTCAATTTATTTCTTCGTTGAAATTATGTTAGAATAGACGTTACTCCATCCGGTCCTCTGACAATATATATGCATTTTAATCCCAAGTGTGCGAATGGAGTCGTAAACTCACGCGTAAAAACAACACAAACACAATCAGATTATAATACATAAGCATCCAGACAGATTTATATATATATATATATATATATATATATATATATATATATATATATATATACACAAAAAAGTGACGAAACAGGGAACATCTCCACGGCCCTTTATGAAAAAAAAAAGAAGAGGCAGGATGATTTTTGAGGGCATTTTTTTAGAAAAAAAATATCTCTTAGCATACGCAAAAAACGGTAATAATATTTTGTATGAACCTCTATTTAAGTATTTAAATCATATGACTCATATATCTAAACATATTTAAATCAAAAAGAGTAATATTTTGGTTGTACAAGTAGTTTCATGCTAGAATAGAATTTGCACTTTTTTAGTTTTACAGTTTCACACCAGACCATCAAAGACACCAGGCGTAATTACTGAATGGTCTCCCAGAAGCACGGGACCTCTCACCTGCAGCCGGTTAAGCAAGCTTGGTTACGAGCTGCATGTCAGAGATTGATATATAAACAACCACACATCGGCGTGATATATAAACAACCACACATCGGCGTGGTGTAATGGTTAGCAAGCTTGTCTCGCTAGAACAATCACGACTGAGTAGTGAGTTCGGTCCTCACGGGGTGCTCAATACTTCCGGCCTTGTGCCACATCTAAGCAGCGCTTAGAAAATCACTATATAAACAACCACCTGAGAGATGATGGGCAGTCTTTGTAGACATCGCAGGTGAGGATGTAAGGCCCACGTTTCGTATGAGATGTGACTGGGTGTTATATAGGAATAAAGTGTCGTTGCCGACACTTGAGTTTGAACATAGATCGCTAGTGAGTAAACACAGGCGATCCCATTATTGAATTTAGTAGACCAAGTGACCATAGACTAAACGCATACATGGGAAGTCGCATGACCTCTAGATTAATCGCTATTTCTCCTCTATCCTCTATTACTATACGGACCGCTATTCTCTACTCTATTCACTATATTATTTGTCTATTCGGATTACTATAGAAATTACTATTCGTGCTAGTATTATTAGGACGAGTGCCATTCGAACGCGTTTGACGCCAGCATTGTTCAACGACGTACTGTTGTTGTATCTGCGATTACAAAGTCTCTACTACAACGAGCATTACGAAAGTGACAACCGCTATTAGTTAACATTGCAAAGTAGAAACTAGTGTTCGTTAACATCAAAAAATTTAGTTAAACATTTGTTTGGCAATAGGCATTTGTCATATGGAAATTAGCGTGGCGTCTAAATCATCAATATCTAGATTACTATTCGGATTACTATACGGTGATTACTTTTCGAGCGAGTACTATCGAGCAAGTACAATTAGTGCGAGTGCTATTCAAAGGCGTCTGACACCAGTATTGTTCAACGGCGATACTATAGTAGTATCTGCAATTACAAAGTCTCTACTACTACGAGCATTACAAAAGTGGCAACGAATGTTCGTTGGCATCACTAAAGTGGCGACAAGGATTCGCAAGAATTCCTCGAACTTACACGAGGATTCGTTCAACTTAAACTACGATTCGTTCAGCAGGTTACAGCAAAAAGGAAGAATTAAAAGCTATCATGGTTCAAATATTGACCACAGAGGAAACACATAAGTAGAAAGTAGCGAGACGTATAATTGATCTTCATTTTTAGTCTATCCTCTATACTATGCGGATCGCTATTTCTATTCTATCCTCTATTACTATACAGACCACTATTCTCTACTCTATTCGCTATACTATTTCTCTATACGGATTAATATTTGAGCGAGTATTATCGAGCAAGTACTATGAGTGCGAGTTTTATTCGAAGGCGTCTGACACCAGTATTGTTTAACGGCGTTACTATAGTTGTATCGGCGATTACAAAGTCTACAACGAGCATAACAAAAGTATCAACGAATATTCGTTGACATTACAAAAGTGGCAACGAGTGTTCGTTGGCTACATAAAACAGGCGCTGACGAGGAATTAGTAACGATGTTAGGAACTGAATAAAATGTGATGT